GGCTGGTCTCAAACCCATGGGCTCAGGCAGTCCTCTCACCTCAGCCTCCCAAAGTGCTAGGATTATAGGTGTGAGCCTCTGTGCCCAGTCCTGCCATTATATCTTGAAAGCATATAACTTGTTTTGATTTCATAGAGACTTTGGACATGGACTTTTGAGTTGATACTGGAATAAGTTAAGATTTGGGGGCTATAAGGATGGAATGACTGTATTTGTATGTGAGAAGGACATGAGTTTTGGGGGTAGGAGTCGGCAGAATGCAGTGGTTTGTTCCCACCAACTCACATTGAAGCTGTATCTCCAATGTGGCAGTATTGGGAGGAGGGGCCTTTAAGGATGTGATTGTCTCTTGAAGGCTCTGTCCTTATGAATGGATTAATCCATTAATGGATAATGGGATATGGGTTAGTGGGTTATCATGGGGACTGGTGGCTTTACAATAAGAAGGAGTGAGACCTGGGCTGGCATGGTCAGTGCCCTCCCCGTGTGATGCCTTGCATTACTTTGGGACTCTGGAGAGTCCCTGCTGCAAGAAGGCCCTCACCAGATGCAGCCCCTCAACCTTGGACTTCTCAACGTCTATAACTTTAAGAAATAGATTCCTAGCCGGACTTGGTGGCTCAGCCTGTAATCCTGCGCCTTTGGGAGGCTGAGGTGAGTGGATTGCCTGAGCCCACGGGTTTGAGACCCGCCTGGGCAACTTGATGAGACCTCATCTCTACAATAAATCAAAAAATCAGCTGGGCGTGGTAGCACATGCCTGTAATTCCGGCTACTCGGAAGGCTGAGGAGGAAGGATCACCAGAGCCCAGCAGGTGAGGCTGCGGTGGCTGGGAGCGGCCACTGCACTCCAGTCTGGGTGACAGAGTGAGACTCCAACTCAAAAAAAAAAAAAAAAGACAGACAGAAAGAAAGAAATTCCTTTTCTTTGTAAATGACCTAGTTTCAGGTATTCTGTTATAAGCAACAGAAAATGGACTAAAGCAACAAGTTTTATTTGGTTTCTAAATGAGGGTTAGTTTTTTCAAGAAGCAGACAATTATGGTTCTCTATTTAAAGGACATAAGCTTTGTAGTAGTCAAAGTCAATTGTTTTCAATGAGTAATTAGTATCATCACCACCACCAAATCCCATTGTACCCACAGGAAGCATTTGGAAATGTCTAGGGACCAGTTTTAGTTGTACAAGAGTCCTGCACAATGCCTAAAATTCTCCTGCCTCAAATGCCAGCCTCAAATGCACCTCATTGAGAAACATTGGTTGATTTCATTTATCATAAAATGGAACAATAGTTTAATATAATTGTATTATTATATTAACCGCACAAATTTTATTGATCAATATCAGAGAACACCAAAGATAAAGTATAGTTTGACCTCAAGTGAGCCTTACTATGAATCAGAACATTGTTCAGATATGGAAGTTTTTTGAGACATTTTACTTCTTTTTTTTAACTTAACATAATGTAAAAGTGTATTTTCAATGTTCCAGTCAGTCCTGGATATATTTGGCTGATAGTTGAAGAAATAAAATCTTCCTGCAGGCTTCGGTTATTAAAATAGAACCAACCACCCACTCATTTTATTACGTTCTGTGGAATGTTTTTGAATGACAGTATAAGTATTTTAATTGGTCTCCAGCTGATTTATAACCCCTTGTTTTATGTTTTACATTTTATGTCTCAAAATTACAAGTTACAGTGCCATTTTTATTCTATGCCATTAAAACAGGGTGAACAACATTTTTTAAAAAGAAAAAGGCAGGGTCCAATCAGAAGTCCAAGGGTCATTTATTCACACTGTCTCTTCATTTTTAGGTGCTGATACTTCTTGTCGGTCCACTGAGTCTCTCTGCTGCTGTTCATTTAAGCTCTGTGTGTGTCTATGCGGGATGGGATAGGGAGATTCCCCCACAGCTGGATCCTTGCTGCATCCAGAAAATAAAATCTGTCACTAATCTCCTGGTTTGAACACAGACTTTCTTAGTTTAGTGTCTATCCTATGCACTTCTATCTCTATGTGATGCTACACATGCCGTATGTTTTTACTCTGAGTGACTTTTCACTTTTGTTTCCATAAATGCATGTGAAAAAGTTCCTCAGGATGCTATTCATGGGACCATCGAGACTAGACAGGGAAAATAATCCTTGAATTTCTCTCCAAGCCCAAAGCCTCAAGTTTAATTTCAGTTTCATCATTTTACATGTTTTATCATCAGTGGCTCACTTAATCACAATGGCTAATTTCACATCCACTTGTTAGCTTGTTCCCAGGCTCAGCTTTGTGTGTCCAAACAGAAACAGAATCTGTAAGTAACTGTACATTTCTTTGCAGAGACCTTGTCATTTTTATGGTTGAATCTCTTTCATCTAGAAGCGTTAGTCTCATATTGTGTAGCTTTCTTCCTGAGAATAAGTTAGACAGGTTAGGAAATTTAAAAAAAAGAAGAAAAATTGTTTTATTTTTTTTTCAGTGTGTATCTCCTTCTCAAAAGATTTGATGTATCTTCTGAAGTTTATATTAAATAGTTTTCTTTATATGGGCTGTTTCCTAAAAAGATTTTTGTTTTCTTCAAAAGATTTTGAGCTACAAGATGAACAGCTATTTCTTTGATGATCAACTAATTCTTCTTTTTACATCATGTCATTAAAATCAAAATGTGAATGATTACCTTATGGATGTATTTTCATTTATTTTTATTTTTTAGTTAGAGTATCATTCTGTTGCCCAGGCTGGAGTGCAGTGGCACTCTCATGGCTACCACAGCCTCAATCTGCTGGGCTCAGGTGATCCCTCTGTCTCAGTCTTCCAAGTAGCTGAAACTATCGGCGTGCGCCACCACACCTGGCTAATTTTTTTGTTTATTGTAAAGACAAGGTTTCACCAAGCTGCCCAGGCTGGTCTGCAGCCCCTGGGCTTAATTAGGTTGTCCTCTTACCTCCACCTCCCAATGTGCTGGGATTATAGGTGTGAGCCACTGCGGCCAGCCTGTGTATTTCTTTATAAAGTCAATAGAATTGAAGACACTTAGGTTTCTGCCCTAAAATTACATGTATTCTTAAGAAACAGATCAGCCAGGCAAAAAGTCAGAACTCACCAGTGTTAAGATTTCCTTAAATGATACATTTCTCTTCCTCTATGGTATATATACATCTAGTTTATTTATAGTTTTATTGCTGAGACATTCTCAATTCTGTAATGTTGTTACTTCTCAGTTTTATCCAATTAATGTCAATTTTCTTATTACTTACATCAAGTACAAATTTCCGAAGTTGTCTTTGCAATGATTCCTAGTCATTTGCAACTCTTATTATGTCTTTGCCACATTATTTGAAATTCTTCCATTTTCCTATTTATGTTGGATATCATTCAATGCACTTAGCAAGTAGGAACAAATCACTTACCCTTCTTCCACTAATGAAGAGGTGATACTGCATTGTCTTAGATAAACCAGTTGCTTTTTCCCTGCCAAATAAAATCAAATAACTCTTCTTGATTTTCATTCTGGAGCTTAGAAAGCAGTCAATAAAAAGAATGAAGAAACCTCCTTAATTTATTGTAGTAGTCTGTATTATTGATGATCCCTTTTTTGTTTATTGTTCTTTTCTTTTTACTCATGCATTTAACTGTTTTATTATAAAGCAGTATAGAACCATTTAAAACCATTTGTAAATATAGAGAAGCAGAATAAAGAAAACAAAGCATCCGTAAACCAGTCATTCAGTTATGCTATTATTAATACTTTGATAATTATTATTCTATTCATTTCTTTATATTATACTTTATATCAAAAGCATATTTATTCCAAATAATGGTTTTACATGGTACATAATGTTTTGAGCTTTTGAAAGTCTCTATTGTAGGGGGAATGGAATTGGCAGTTGAGGGAAACTGCTAGGGGAGGGAGGAACACACCTCCTAAATAAGGGTACCTGCATAATCAACGTCTGTATACCTAACCCTGAATTGTAACCCACATTTTTATAATAAAATTTAAAAAAAAAAGACATAGACATTTGCTCTTTAAAAAGTATCTATTGTAATTAATACATTGTGGACATATTTCATAAATATATATATTCATCTAGAGCATAATTTTAATGAATTGTGTTACATCATATGTGTGTGCCATTTTTTATTCAACAATACCCTAGTAGACATTTTGGTTGTTTTTATTTATTTATTATTACAAGCAGCACTGTAGTTAGCTGTGTAATAAATTACACCAAAACCTACTGAATTAAAACAACATACCTCAGGTCTATGGGTCAGGAATCTGGACTGGATCCTCTGCTTCAGAATTTCTGACAAGTCTGCAGTTAAGGTGTTGGCTAGAGCTTTCTGAAGGCCCAACCAGGGACAAATCCACTTCTAAGCTCATGTGATTGTGGCAGAATTCACTTCTTGAAGGGCTGTTGAACTGAGGGCATCAGTTTCTAGGTGGCTGTTGCCTGGAGGTGGCTTTTAGTTTCTTGCCATATGGCCTTCCCTAATGTATCAACTTGCCGCAGCAAAGCCAGCAAGAGGAATCCTTTTTTACTCCTAATATGTTAAAAGGATCTCATGTATTTACTATGCCAAGGGGAGAGTCTGATAGCAAGACAGAAATCACAATCTTTTGTAGTCTAATCAAAGAAGTGACATTCCATGCCATCACTTTTGCAGTATTCACTTTGTTAGAAGCAAGTCACTAGGCCAGCCCACACCCCATTACATGAGGTGTGAATAACAGGAGACAGGGCTCACTAGGGGTCATCTTAGAGTATGCCACCCACATTAGCCATCTTATAGCTAAGCCTTGGGTACATCTTTATGTATTCCCAAATGATAAGGCTATGAAGAAATATACCTGATTAAAGGAGCAGTCCCTGTTTGAATAAACAGCTAAGTCTTCCCAGAAAAGGGAAAAGAGATTTCCACCTCTAAGTAAAGCAGGTGAGAAATGCAAGGCCCAGAGTCACAAATAATCAGAAGAGCGAGCTATCCCAGGTATAGGAAATGCCTGGAACCTTGGTGGCTCACACAGGGGCATTCTTAGTGAGGAAATGACAGCTGACTCTCAGCCTGCGGGAACTACCATCCTAATAGCAGACTCTGATTTGTTGGAGAACATGACTCACTGAGCCCCTCAGTGAGTAATGTCTGTTTTTATAAGTTGTTTGCATTCCTACCATCAATTACACTACCATTAGCTCAGAGAACCTTCTCTCTCTCTGTTTAAAATCCCTTTCTCTGTTTCAACTCTTTATCGGTCTAATAGTGAAAATGGGACCACCTTGAATCTCTTTTCCTTTTTTTTTTTGAGTTGGAGTCTCACTCTGTCGCCTAGACTGGAGTACAGTGGCCGCTCCCGGCCACCGCAGCCTCGACCTGCTGGGCTCGGCGATTCTTCCACCTCAGCCTTCCAAGTAACTGGAACTACAGGTGCGCGCTACCACGCCCGGCTAATTTTTTGAATTATTGTAGAAATGAGGTCTCGCCAAGTTGCCCAGGCGGGTCTCAAACCCGCGGGCTCAGGCAATCCACTCACCTCAGCCTCCCAAAGCGTGGGATTACAGGCTGAGCCACCGAGCCTGACTTTCTTTGCTTTTCATATCACTTAAGACAAACCCCTTCTGCCTTTGGTTTTTTATTTTTCCTTCTGCTGTCATTCAGTAAGTGTCTGTGGGCCAATAGTGAGCTCACCTGCTCTAAAAAAGTCAGGCACCCTCATTGTGAGTTGATTCCCAAGATTCAAGTGCAGCCTGACCTTTCCCTAGGCTCTGCTCCCATAGTTCCAGTCACCTACAAACATGTCTGTGTGGATGCCTGGGAAGATCTCCAACGTAATGTGCCTAATTGAACTCTTCACTTCCTTGCCCCTTCCTCCTCTCACAAAACTGGCTTCCCATTCCTGACTGTTCCTTGCCCTCTTGCTGACAGTGCTGCCCACCATGTTTTCCAGCCCAGATGACTATGAAAAGAGAGGAGACTAATCAGTGGGGTCCTCGCCTGCTTCTCCCTGCACAGAACAAGGAAGTATTTTGGTTTGTGTAGGTAGGAGTCACTTCTGGAACAGAGGGGCTCAGTGAGTCATGTTCTCCAACAAATCAGAGTCTGCTATTAGGATGGTAGTTCCTGCAGGCTGAGAGTCAGCTGTCATTTCTTCACTAAGAATGCCCCCATGTGAGCCACTAAGGTTCCAGGCATTTCCTATACCTGGGACAGCTCACTCTTCTGATCATTTGTGACTCTGGGCCTTGCTTTTCTCACCTGCTTTATTTAGAGGTGGAAATCTCTCTCCCCTTTTCTGGGCAGATTCAGCTGTTTATTCAAACAGGGACTGCTCTAGCTAGTGAGTCACTGTCGTTCCACTTCATCTTTACACACACTCTTCCCTCACAAGTGCAGTGTGGGCAGGAGCTCCTTGTGAATATCGTCTTTGGCTCACAGAATGCACGTGGAAAATATTATTGTACGACCCATACACTTGTCTTCATTTTATTTTACCTGAACCTATGAGGCAGAACTGTCCTTTTCCACTCTTGATGAACTGTAATGATTTCATGCATTTACTAAACCAGCTCCATGTCGACAAGGCATGCTTTGCTGCCGTGCATCCTTCTCTCTCTCCCCCATCCTGACCATACTGTATCTTAAAGTTCCGTGTGGGCTCTGTTCCTTCAGTCACCCTCCCTGTCCCCTGAGACATGGGTCTGGCCATGTGTGTTTTCTTTCTCCCTTTTCACAGGGGTCTCTTAGTGAACTCTTTTCTTATTTGTCTGCAGTGCCTGTATTATTTCCTCTTCTCATTTTGCTCCTCCCCTTTTTTTCTTGTCCCACAGCATCCTCCAATAATCTTAGCCTCATGCCCTCAGAGACCTGACCCCCGAGACTACACACCCTCCTAATGTGGCTCCAC